TTATGCATAACTTAATGTGATACATGATACCTCTGTGGTAAATTAAAATCTATATAAACCTATGTAGATTTTAATTTGCATAAGATGATGATGATGATGAAGATGATAGTGATGATGTATAAGATGAAAAAAACTCTCGTAAGACATGAAGATAAGGTTTTATCTTCATAAGTTTTACGAACGTTTTCTTAGTCAAACTAGATTTACTGTAGTTTAGTTTAGCTGCTAGTTCAGAACGGAAAAAACGTTCTTCCGACCTCTTTAATAACACTACATGAAATATAAACTCTTATTAAACTAAGCTTGAATGTGACTTTTTATTCCAAGCTATATTACACCCCCAACTTACAGTCTCTGTATAACTTTTCATACTCACAGTTGTCATGAAGAAATCGCTCTTAGCGATAAGACCCGCCAATTAAAACGCTTTTGTCAAGTTTATTGTGTTAATTTATCTATCTACCCTCCCCTATGTACATACTTTATGACAGTGTGTGTGTCGTTGAATCTTTCCAGCTATCTAGGATCTGGGATTAGCGTATTGAATACTTTTTCTCGTTAAGGGTTTCGCAAGGATTACGATATCGACGATCTAGGCAGGGAAAGTTCTTTAATATAAATTCAATATTCTATCCTGCGTCGAAGCTTCGTCTAAAGATTGCACGTTAAGATGTATCATCATCTTTTTATATTTACCTACTGGGGTGGTATTTTATTACGTTAAAAGGTTCGCAAACAACCTTCTGACCCGCCTGCTAGTATGCGGCCACAATAGCCTATAAACGCTGGCTATACCAATAACATCACTTGCCTACCCTGATCCAAACCTCTACCTCGTGGAGCCCTGTGACCTAAATCACCGACAAAAATAAATAAATATTTCCTACACTCATACCAATTAGAAAGCACTGTAGGCTTGTGTTATGGGTAACGGATAGAATACATATACTGATACATATATAAGTATTATTATATAGAAATACATATTAAACATCCATGACTGGAGTACAAATGATCGTATTCATCACACAAACATCTGCCACCACTGGGATTCGAAGCCGGGACCTCTCGAGTAAGCGACACCTTGAAATCTGGCGTACAAAGCACTCGGCCACGGAGGTCTTCATAATGAGAAAAATAAGAAGATAGTGTCATTTTACTGTGCCATACTAGAGAATAACTATAAAAAATAGAATAATAATAAAAAAATAGAACTTACGTAACCATCTTGTATGTAATCACGCAAGTCCAGGATAGGTAGTTTCGAAAATCAGGAAAAACCAGGAATCGACTGCAAGTGTTCTAAGCTCTTGTCTCTCTGTATCAAATTCCCAATAATAGTGACTTCAAGATCGTCGTTTGTAATGTTACGTGGCCTCAGTGCATCAGCTCAGCATTCAACATCACGCTAAGGAGCGAGATTACTTATATTGAGTAGGTTTATGATGATTTTTATACAAAAGCACAGTACTGTGTATTGCTTTTGAGCTCTAGATTTAGTTCCTTAAGTTATTGAAGTTATACTTCTTTAGGCGCGTTATGAAAAAATGATGAGAGTGAAATTTTTAGATCCGCGCGCATCACTGTAACCCAAAAGTAACAGCATGAAGTTGGCCGCGGGCGCGTTATGAAAAAATCATGTGAGTGAAATTTCGAGATGCGCGCGCCTCACTGTAACACAATAGTAACACCATGAAGTTGGCCGCGGGCGCATTATGAATGTTAGTGTCTAATAATGGTGGATTATTAGACATCTGTTCGAAAGGTACTTTGAACGATCCACGGAGCTCCATAAGATGATCGCGTTGTCAAAAACAATGTTGGCACGCTCGTCGCCTCTGATCACTGTTTTCATATTTATAATATTTATCCACATGTTTCTAGTTTCTATATCGACACAACGTGTTTTAGTTACTTACAAGTGCTAATTACATATGGACTAATAACTTAAATTCAGTAGTGATTTTAATTGAATATTTTGAATATTTATTTAATTTTTCAAATTAAAACTGAACTTAATTGACTGTGTTAACTATCCTTTTCCAGTCCTTTTATTATTTTATTGTAATTATTAATTATTTGCATGCAATTAAAAATATTTTTAATGATGCTAAAGAAGTATAACTTCTCACGCGCGTACATAAGTTACACGCATCCATTTTTTACCAAAAGAAACTTCTTAACTTAGTTTAGAGATCCATGTAGTTAAGTGTCCTACTTAAGAAGTGTCCTACAGATTTCAGAATGTTTTTCTTTTTTACTTCAACTATATCATTCCACAAGTTTCTTATAATTTAGTAATATTGAGTACTATTTGTTTTTTTTTTGTATTTCTTTGTCTAAACATTTGTATTGTAAATGTAATCACAGTTTGCGCCAAAATGAAATAAAAATTTACATAATTTCTTTAAACGAAAATACAATACAATAAATTACATATCAAGTGGAAAAATAACGACATTGTTGTACATTTTTAAGTTCGATAATACTTGTACTAGCATTCTAAAAAAAAAACAATTCTATAGATAACCTAGCGGGTTTCCGCTCGAATTGGAACGCCTCTCTAGGGAAGTAACCTCCACCTTACAAAAGAGAAGATCACGATAAAACAACACTATCTTTTGGTAGTGTTGAGTTTCCGTGAGTGAGTAAGATTTCAGGGCTCCACGTGGTAGGGGATTGGGTCAGGGAAGGCAACGGCGTGAGCGATATTTTTTGTATCGCAAGGGTCTACAGGCTATGGTGGCTGTTTACCACCAGGCTGACATAATAATATGCTTGTTTGCAACGGAAAAAACCTTTTCTGTCTCTGTCAGTCGATTAAAGTCAAATAGAGATGGAATGCGGTTTAAACATGATTTTGTTTTAAGTCTGGTGCAAGGGGTACAAGAATTATCAAAATTCGACTGAAGCCTTAGAACATAAGCTGTAAGATAGGATAATTCTTTGGAGCTGTTACCAATTCTCCGTCAATCAAACTAATTGGCACCGTTGTCCTTGAATGGAGCAATCGCGCCGATTCGAATGGTAAATCGCGAATGCCTCTATTCTTTCCCTTTGGAAAATATAATTGGCACTCGTACTAGATGGTTCATTGGTATACTTGAGATTGAGATACTCAACGTTACACTCTTCCTAAAAAGGTTTAAAAACAAAAGAAATGCGAATGGAGAAGTCCATGGTGGGCTGTAGGCCACTCGACAGCCCGGTTTGGACTTCTCTATTCCAAGTACCTAGCAATTTAATAGAAAGAAAGATTTTTTTATTGGCTTTTAAATTTACACACCACTTATCAATATACTTTGTATAACAAAAAAAACAAGCGAGCCTTACAGTAGTCGCGTGTGATGTGTAACATTTGAAACCTCACCTTATACTAGTAAAAAAAGAAATAAAACCTACTATAAAAGGAATAAGCCATTTGAACATTATGTTCTAAAATCAAATCAAATAGCGCGCGCTTTCGCAACTTCCTGTCCACTTACACACTTCCGTCCCATTTCACGAAATCACTCCCACAAATTGCAGGAAAGCGAGAGGAAAGATGTTACACATCAAAAATATTTAAAGCCCAACTAGCCGACACTGTAGACGCTGCGGTGCTGATATTCTGGCAGGGCCTACGGTTCATATATTAAGCACATACTTACAACTCTATGAGTTCAACCGTTACTAAACATAATACAACAATAACATTTGCTATAAAAACTATAAATTTGCTATGTTAATATGATTATATTCGTCTCATAATGTTGTACGTTGTTAATAAACTAAAACAAAACAAACTTCTTACCTATCTCCGAAAAGACAATTTAAATACTTATATAGGTAAACATGTGCTATCCTCGGCAGCTGAGTTTGCTGATATTGCAACAGTCCACTAAGCAATATGCTAATTTATTTAAAATTAGATCGGATGAGAGTGTGTTGTAATGGGTATCTTCGAACTAGAATGAAATTTTCATTATTCTGAGTCTACACTCACTATTTTGAAATATTCGGCTATAATTGGAACATTTGCAATGTGTCTATGTGAAAGTTAGTGACCTTTTTAGTGCCTTTATAGGATGCTTGATATGATGATCCTTTTATAGGATGAAATAAAAGAGATCGCAAAAGACGAAAGAGTTTCATGATAATAACCTTGGCTTTTGTTTTATCATGATCTTTTCTTGTCTTTAAACTTTAGATTTTGAGTTTGGAATATTTTTGCTCATAAAACTCACTAGTCAAGTGCAAAAATACGGGAATGAAAGGTGAAAGATAATTCGATGTCAAAACTTTCAGACACTTCATTAATAGTAGATTAAGAAAAAGTGCAAAATAAACTTCTATTTAAAGGTTAACAGTTGACCTTGATAGAAAGTAGTCCTATTTCCGAGTCTGAGGTCAGCGAAGATGTAAGTAAGTTTAAACTTCGTGCTCAGAAAGTGGACAGTTTGACAGTTCTCAATTTTGCTATACAGATAAAATTAAATTATAAATAATCGAACGGGCAACATTTCAATTGTAAGGGAGTTCCCATGAAGTTTCAAATAGAGTTATTTATCTACATAAATAACTTCGAATTGTTTGTCTTTTATTTTTATAGGTGTGAATTTTACCGACATGCTTAGGTTATGAAAATGAAGCTTACAATAAAAAAGACAATTAACACCGACATCGTTCATTCATTAATAACCAAACTGCTGAAAATAAAAGTCCTGTTATTTTCGTCACAAAATACTTCAAACACAAACACTGTGCGGTGGCAGCATCATTTTCATTCCGAAAAATCTTAATCCAGGTAATGAACTATATGTGTACCAAAATTTTATCAAAATTCGTTCAGCTGTTTTTCGATTTAATACTTGATTAAATTCGAAAATGGCTGAACAAAATTTGGATTTGAAACCCTATTAAATCGTCCAGCCCCCATCCGCCATACTGACCGGAAGGGAACTTCGTTCCAATAAAAGCAAAAAGTAAGAGTTGAAATAGAGATCATTTCATCTTTGCAGGTCAGCGCGAGTCGGCAAAACGTCACTCGTGGCTCGATTCCTGGGCACCAAGTTTGAGGACAGCTACACGCCCACCATTGAGGACTTCCACCGGAAGCTGTACCGCATCAGGGGCGAAGTGTACCAGCTCGACCTGCTCGACACCTCGGGCAACCACCCCTTCCCCGCCATGAGGAGGCTGTCGTTCCTCACAGGTAGGCAGGCTTTCACTACAAAAAACCGGGGTTCCGTACAAAGTGACGGTAGCAATCTCAGAATTTTATGCATGCTTTTCAGTGTTCTTATACGATCCACGTACCCCATAATACTTCAAAACTAGGTTTCTGTATCTGAGTCCCTCCAGACCACATAATCTTCGCTCTCGCAGGTACCTTTCCCTTAAAACGTGTTCGTTTCCAAATTCAAGTCTCTGGAATAATTTGCCACTGAATATTTTCAGTACACGTTAGTAAGTTAGAGTTGAAAAAACTAGTGCGTGCACACTATCTGACAACATCTTTTTTGTAATCTGTAGTCTATATAGCTGCTATATGCTATATTATAGCATCATATTAATTTGTTTTTACTAATTTAGTGTATGTATAAATATTACCAGAAAAAAATCCACGCGGACCAGGCAGCAGACGGGACTCGAATCCGCACCCTTCGCTATCCGGGCTAATGCACTGACCACTATGCTACCGCGGCCCTGACGGCCATCAGGATTTTTTTCTAGTAGTATTTTATTTAGATTTGCACATCGAGCAGTTACATGCTTAAAATAAAAAATATACTGAGTGTATGTTTGTTAATTAATGTGATGATGTACGCAACATAAACAGCCGTATCTTTTTCTCCTTAGAATTTTGATGCATAGATTTATGGGACCGTAGACCTAAGTAGGTAGGTAGGTAGAAAAATAATGACATTTCGCGAGTGTAAGATACAAGATTTGCGTGTTTTGTTTTTCGTGTCACGCATACAAGTATATGAAACTTTTATCGCAGTGTTTACAAGATGACGCTGTATCTAGAGAGTAAATAATCAAAGGTAATAATTACGTTATTTTGTGTAAACATTTTGGACCTGCTATTCCTTAATTCAGCCGTAAATGCAACAATGTATTTAAAATTTTGGCTGGTATTAGTCGAAACAAAAAAAAAATGCCTATCTCTCCTTTTTGACGTGACAACGTCTTAAATTAGGTTGCGGCTGGGAGTCACTTATGAAAAAGTGTAACGCTCGGTAACGTTACGATGAGTCTCTCGTGTTAAGTTTAAGTTTACATGTACAATGTTTTAGTAAACAAAATATATTTCTATAGTTAAAATTTGTGCAATTCTTATTTTCATTCAATTCCTTGTTCCTATTGTGCAATTTAATTATATTCATATCAATAAATATTCTACCGAGAAAAAGACGTTGTCACGTAAAATCTTCGCCCGTAAAACCGACTTTACAGGCAACCATTTTTTGCCATCATCTTCATTCGCCTATACATGTCCCCGCTGCTGGAGCACAGGCCTCCCCTGTGAATAGAATGGGGAGGTTGGGCCGTGACCCAACTCGCAGACCCTGTGGATTGGTGGGTGCTAAAGACTGCAGATGCAGCGGGAACCAACAGCTTTCGGCTGTGATCGTTGAAATTACAAAGGACTAACCGCTTACGACATCGAGTTACTCATAAATATATTTCTTCATTGTCACTCCACATATATATATAATGTGTAAATTATGTACGTACCTAAGTAAATTGGTAAACTGTCTATTATTGGGTTTGCTACAGTAATGGAATAACTCTATCTCCCGGTGCGCGGGTGAGTAGCGTGTCTCTGAATAATCGCATTTCCTGACAGTTCCGGTTGGGGCGTACGAACCGGATATCTCCTCGATCTAACATTTGCCGGAACACTCCGGACATGAGTTCAATGTTTAGGGGGTTCTTCCTACGCGCGCAATAATACATCATACAATATTTGTATGAATCTCGAATGGGATCCATTTTGTTGATTTTGAAAGATTTTTTTGATAGAGTATTTTTTTTATATTTAGGCTGACATGGTACAGTAGCAAATGGCAAAGTTGTAAAAACATCAAAACTACAACGGAACTTGCCATATTTTTTGGGGCGAAAAGAATGAAATTGGTGCCTGTTTGAAGAGCTGAAATTAATTTTATACATAATTTCTAAGAAAAAAATTGAAACTGCTAAAACGTTTTTGGGGGTCTTTAATTTACTTTGAAAATTGGCGATAATCTCTGATTGTTCCGTAACATACTTAACCGGATCTCATTTCTGCTGTGTACGGGATGACAAAGGATATTAGTAACGCAATAGCTGTGCTATTTTGTAAGAAATTAAGAGCAAACTCACTTTTTACCGCGGAATTCGCCTGCGATTTTATATCCCCTCGGACGACATTAATCTGTACCCTGACAATGACATTCCGGACTCGCTAACTATTCGAATTCGATAATGGTTCGTGCTAAGGGTACAGATTTTAAATTTGTGTTCTAATTTCAAATCACTCTTGTTCTTACAAACTAGCACTGCACGTCCTTGGGTAGGTATGTACGCGAGCTATTTTGGAATATAAAGCATATAACTAGTAGTACAGTCAATCTGTAGGTTGAGTGGTGAAAAAAAACCTAAAGGGTAAGTCTTGTTTTTTCTGTTGCCAAATGACGTCAGTAAGCCACCTTGGCGATGGGCATGTTCAACTCGTAGGCGTTTTTTGAAAAATTCAAAAAAACTGTCAAAAATTTTTTGAAACGCATTTTTCTTGTTTTGTATGCATTTTAGAAACTTTTTTTTCGACCATAATTGTAGAGGGCGTTGAGTGCTACAATTTATGTCATTGTTGCAATCTTGTACAACAAAAATGCGCATTGTAGGTTGCGCTAAAGTCTCAAAAAAAGTGTATTTTCACTTTTTCACCCTGAAAATATCATTTTAATAGAAAACTTTAAATGGCAAAGTTGTTTCGTACATAATTACCAACAACTTTTGTATAAACATTTTTTTTGTATTACTTACCGTTTTCAAGTTATAAATTGCGCAGAGGTATGAAAAATCCAATAGAGTGGTTTTGGGCAGTTCAAGTACACATTTGCAGTGCACATTTTAATGTACGTTTTAACCTTTTTTTTTCAATCATGAAAAAAAATAAAACTATTTTTTTTTTCATTTTTTTTTTGTTTTTCAATCACGAAAAAAAATAAAAAATAGTAAAACGTACATTGAAATGTGCACTGCAAATGTGTACTTGAACTGCCAAGCCAAGAAAAATGCGTTTCAAAAAATTTTTCACAGTTTTTTTGAGTTTTTCAAAAAACGCCTACGAGTTGAACATGCCCATCGCCAAGGTGGCTTACTGACGTCATTTGGCAACAGAAAAAACAAGACTTACCCTTTAGGTTTTTTTTTCACTGAAACGATATTTTTTTCGACAGATTGACTGTACTATAGACAGACACTATTCGTTGCGGAAGTAAACTTTAGTCCTGTTGGTTAGGTTTTCCGTTTTTTTACGGACAAAAGTAAAAATCTAGATGATTTTACATCTAATAGCGTCTACAAAGAAGTGCTCCTCACTTCTTCTTCGTCTCTGAAAAATCATGTAACCTGCCCATGTGTACACTTTTAAGAGAGGCGCGAAGAAGCATTTTTGCGGGCCAGCAAGGTGAGGATGGTCTGTGTAGCAGTTTATAACTGCTGTACCAGCTATCTTCGCGTTTGGTCTAACATCAGGTGGGGTAGTCATTTGCCTACCTAGTTATATAAAAAAAAACAATTAATCACAATAACAATCGTTCATAATTAAGTAAAACAACAACAGTAAAATAAATTTATTAAAGTACGTTCTACTTTAATAAATTTATTTTGCTGTTTTTTACTAATTTTTAATTTTCAGCAAAGTGACCTGCCGATGTGTCAAATATAACTAACGTTTATAAAGATAACGAGCACGCTAATTAACGTTGAAAAAGGAATGGAGTTGTACGGAGTGTGGTTCCGACGTCGCGTCATAGGAACATATACGTGTCTAGAACAGTAGACCCGGCAGCTATGAAAATTTAATTATCTTTACTTGTTAAACAATTGCTGACACCGTCTCGTCGAAGTTCCGTTCCCATAAATACGATAGCGTAGCTGGCTTTCCTCAGATACGGCTGAATTTAAAAGTTTGATTTAATTCGAAGCTGTCCGCGTCTTTGCGATAGCAATAGAATAGAGTAGTTAAGAAAACATTGTACATACATACATGCATGAACCCTGAATTTACGAAAACATTACACTCTTTTTTTGGAGCAGTCGTCTTAATAAAATAAAATTAATAAATCTGTATGAAAACAGTATGAAAAAAATTTCGAACAAAATTTATGTATATGTATATATGATAATATATGATGAGGTCGTAGCATACATATCAGACTCGTAAGGGAATTGTCACCGTATCAACTCGAGCCGTTCAGTAGTCTTTGTAACTTTTCTACTTTAATGAATACTCATCGGAATCATAACGTAATCGCTTCTCATCGGGACATGAGTTTGTCTGAGGAGAGGCGATTACGTATTAGCATAGCTGAGCCAGCAACCTGTTGGCCTCGCACGGCACGCACTACGACTAGTATTTAGTTCCCATTTTTTTATTGACTATGTTTTATTTCATATACCGTTCTGTTTCACAAATTTTAGGGCTGTCGGGGCCAATAAAATGTCTTTCTTTCTTTCTTTCTTTTACAACACCAAAAGGTAGTGTTATTTTACTGTGGTCTTCTGTAAGTTAGAGGTTGCTTTCCCAGACGGGCGCACCTATTGAAGCGATAAATCCACTGTACCCTGCCGTCTCTCCTTTATAGCGCGATTACACTTAGTCCTTCGAATTCGGATAAACGACTTAGTGTAGGTAAATGAACGGAGTTGAGTACGTCCTGTTTTTTTTTTTATGTTATAGGGGGCATACGAGCAGACGGTTCACCTGATGGTAATGATCACCGTCGCCCATGGACACTTGCAACACCAGGAGTATCACAAATGCGATGCCGGCCTTTAAGGAAGGAGTACGCTCTTTTTTTGAAGGTTCTTGGGTCGTATTGGTCCGGAAACACTGCTGGCGACAGCATATTCCACAGTTTTGTCGTTCGTGGTAAAAAATTTCGACAAAAACGCACGGTTGTGGATAGCCACGCATCAAGACGATGGGGATGAAAT